TTATCATTCAATCTCTACCTCTTACCCACCTGGGCTGTGATATGAATATAAGCAACCAATAGAGTGGGGAAGATCCTAGTCTGTTTTGCAGTCTTCCAAATGGGAAGTTTCAGGGGGAAACCACCATAATGAGCAGCCTCATACAGCTCTCTGAAAATGTTAAAGTTGATAAAACTCTTTGAGGACAAGGTACATTGTACTCTTTAAAAATAAATAGTTCAACTCAACTATCTCATTAGGAAGGTGGCTCTATGTTGAAAAATAAACTTGAAGCAAAACTAAATGGATAAGCATGCCTATCAGAAATCACTGTTGAATTAACTGAAGTGAAAGTGTGTATATTAAAATGATTTCTTTTCACTTCAAAAAAAAAAAAAGCTCTATATATACATAGAGAGAGAGAGAGCTCTCTCTATATATAGTCAAAGTTATGGTTTTTCCAGCAGTCATGTGTAGGTATGAGAGCTGGACCATAAAGAAGGCTAAGCACCAAAGAACTGATGCTTTCAAACTGTGGTACTGGAGAAGACTCTTGAGAGTCCCTTGGACTGCAAGGAGATCGTCAGTCAATTCTAAAGGAAATCAACCCTGAATATTCACTGGAAGGACTAAAGCTAAAGCTGACGTTTCAATTATTTGGCCACTTGATGCTAAGAGCCAACTCAGTGGGAAAGACCCTGATGCTAGGCAAGATTGAAGGCAAAATGAGAAGGAAGCAGCAGGAGAGATGATTAGATACTGCCACCAACTCAATGGACATGAATTTGAGCAAACTCCAGGAGACAGTGGAGGACAGGGAAGCCTGGCATACTACAGTCCATGGGGTTGCAAAGAGTTGGACACAACTTAGTGACTGAACAACAATACATTTTATTTCCCAAATATTCAAAAAAATGAGGATGGAGCCCTTTAAAGCACTTAAGTCTCCTCTGGACTCATAAGCACAATAAAGAGGAGAAAATAAATAACTGAAACTTTTCATGATCACCCCTGGAATGTAGTACAGCTATGGAAAGGTAGGCAATTTTCCCAAAGTAACAATGGCAACCCACTCCAACATTCTTGCCTGGGGAATCCCACGAACAGAGGGGCCTGGCTGGCTACAGTTCACGGGGTCACAAAGAGTCAGACGTGACAGAGCAACAACACTGGAACAAATGGCAGAGCCTGGATTTGAACGCAGGTCTGTGTGACGCCACGGTCTATTTCCTTGTCATGACACGACAATGTGTAGCAAATATAGATGGAGAGAGAGAAGAAAGAAGGGTCAAAGGGCAAACTCCACAAGAGTACCAAGAAGGTTAGGAGGCAGGGAACTATATTCAATATCCTATGACAAAACGTAATAGAAAAGAACATGAAAAAGAATACATATATTGCTGTATTGAAGAAATTAACATATTATAAATCAACTATACTTCAATAATTTTTTTTTAAGGTTAGGAGGAATAAGAGGACAAGATAGTTTCGGACAGGCAAAAAGTGACAACTTTAAATAAGACAGTGGTGGATGAGGGATCAAGTGTCCACCGAGGCAGAGCTGCCACCAGCGATTTGAATTTGGGCAATGCTGGGTGGGGTTCAGGGAGCCGCCAGATTGAAGTAGCTGAGTGTGGGAGGTGATAAAGGAAGGCAGAGTGTTCAATATCCTGCTTGTGAAGAAAAGGAGAAAGGAAAATGGCTAAGAGAAGACACAAGCTCAAGGGAAAGCTGTTCCGATTAATTTTTCAGGTAGGAAAAATTGAAGCATGTTTGAAAGTTGTTTTCTTTTTAAAAAAAAAATTTAAAAAGGAGTACGGGGGAAGGGCAGGATCATAGAGACAAATGAAAGTAAGCAGGGTCCCTGAGAAGGGAGAAGGAATAAATAAAGCAACTTGAAGGGGAGGACAGAGGACAAGATTGTTGGATGGTATCAGCCACTCAATGGACACGAGTTTGAGCAAACTCCAGGAGATGGTAAAGGACAGGGAAGCCTGGCACGCTGCCGTCCACCAAGTCGCAGAGTTGGAAATGACTGAGCAACAGAACAACAAATACTAAATGAGTGACTGCAGTGCGCCTGGCCCTGCACGTTTTAACATTCCATTTAACTCCACAGCAATCAACTCATTCCTTTTAACACACTCCTGCACTGTCAGGGAGAGGGTGGTAACCTGTTAGTAATCTGTGAAAAGTTAAACAGCAGTAAATGACAGGGCTGGGTAAAGCCCCAGGCGGTTTGCTTCCAGAAACCACATTTATCCCTTCAGCTACTATCTCCCCTGACTCAAGACTGAGGATTAGGGAAAGAGAAATGCCACTTCTCTCTCTTGAGATAATGATAAAGATAAAAGACATCAATGGTGCAGAGATGTTGATGTATTTGAGCTAGGACAAGACAGAGGTGTGAGAAAAGTTCAGGAGGATGCTGTAAATTGTAAGCATTTCTTCCACAGTCAAGACACAGCCTAGGTGCTAGTTCCAGATACACATGTTTAGGATTAGATTACTGAAAACCATATTGTACTGTTTTCTTAAATTCAAACACTATTTGGATAAAAACTGTAATGGAAAAAATACAATTTGTATATTGTTTTCATAAGAGAAGTCTAAGAGGCTGTACAAAATGATTAGAGAACTAGCATAAACAAGGACTAAAAGAATAGAACAAAAAGTCCACACATGTCAATGTACAACTAAAGGACTTCAGCAATTTCCTCACTATAGGAAAAGCTCTTATGACTCATTCATTCATCTATTTAATTTATTGGGTACCACTTGTGCCAGGCACTGTTTTAGGCCCTGGGATTGCAGCAGTGAACAAAACAGATAAAAACAATCCCCATGGAATACATATCCTAATTGAAAAGAAAGGATAACTAAAACAAATTAATTAAAAATAAGTAACTTTTATAGCAATGTGAGTACTAAGGAAAAAGTAAAGCAGAGAAGATGATGGAGGCACAAAGTGGGAAAGGGGGAATTGGAACTTTAAATAAGAAGGTCATCGCATAACTGAGAAAATGACATTTGAGGAATTTCCAGAGGAGGTGATGGAGGCACCCAATGCACACTTGGGGAATCAATGTTTCAGGCAGTGGAAACAGTCCAGGAAAAGATGAGGTGAGATTGTGCCTACTGTTTACAAACCTCTGTAAAGAGACCCAGTGAGGCTGGAAGAGCATGAAGGTAAAGACAGAACTGGTGGGCTGGAATACTCAAGAGTCCTCTCAGCTACTGTGAGACAGTGGAATCTGTCCACTCAGTGGAATCTGAATGGGAATGTTACGATCTGAATATTTTAAAAGAATCACTCTGGTTGGTCTAGAGAACAAACAACAGCGGGTACCTGGGGCAGAAGCGCAGAGAACTGCGAAGGGTGATGCTGGCTCTTTTCCATCTGCCCTCCAGGTCTCCTCTCCACCGTTCCCCACCCTACTGTGTGTGGAGAATGCCTAGGATGCTGACCGCAGTGAACTCATGGACTGCCCTGCCTGCTGGCACAAGATAAACCATACGGACTGTATATACATAAAACTGAATAATCGCCATGATTGGCAAAGAATGAGGTAAATCTATATATGTCTATAAGAGATCATATTGGGAGGAAGAGGGGGTTGACTCAGGTGCCTTAGTAATATACAGAAGACTCCTATTCCATGTGTTGCTTTTTTTTTTTAAAGGATATATAGATATATAGGAATAAGAAAATTCTAAGAAGATAAAAGAAATTGTTTAAAGTGGTGGCCTCTAAGCAGGCTGATGTGAGCAAATCCATTTTTCACTGTCTACTCTATTAAACTCTTTGAAATTTTTTGAATAAACAAATTTCAATAAAGACCAGTTAATAAATAACCCTGCACTGCACAAAACCTATGGTGCTGAATACAGAACTATATCTGAACAGTTAAGCAGTTTTATTCATTAATATGCATATTTTGTTAGAAGACATAAAAGCCCTGACCAATAGTACCCTGAATCACAGATATATTTCTCTATTTGTGGTAAAACTGAACCTTTTACATACTCCTAGAGTTTTCCAAATGCCATATATATGGGGGGAAAAAACAAGGTTTAATGCAGATGATTTCAAATGGAAAAAAAGCAAACATGACCTGATTCCTATAAAGAATTGGCTAATGACATTTATTTTGGCACTGATCATGATATCAAATGGAACAGTTCATATCATGATTTCTGTTTCACTGATACTGTAATTCCCAGAATGAATATTTTAGAACTAGCAGTAATTAACAATACGGAAAAAAATATTTTCTTCAGACTTATCTTAAAATATTCTGTCAAAGCCAGCAAATCAACACTGTTAAAAAAATTATGCAAACTATTATACCTGAAGAATGTCAAACTATTTCTTTAAGGATTCTCTAAGCTTTCACAAATGTAGATATGCCAACACAAATATATATAAGATTATGCATATTTTATTTTTACCTATGTAAGTGAAAAACTTAAAACTATTTCTCATCTTATCCTATTTTTCTCCTTACCACCACTGTGGAATTGTCCCTGTAGAGAAAACTTTAATGTTATCAGAATCATAACATACTATTTACCCAAAAATTCTAGAAAGGAATTTTTTTTAAGTCAACCAAATCTGCTTGAATACAAAAGATTCCTCAACTGGTTTTGGATAAAATTTTTTGCATCTCTCCTAAGTTTTTTGTTCTTTCTCTGTTGGCAAAAATTTTAATAGATTTCCCCAGACTTCTGCAGGTTAACATTATCAGTTAAAGTTGGGGACATCTGAAATAATAGAAACACAATGTATTAAGGCTTTTATATGCCACAAAATTGTACAAAAAGAAAATCATATAATCATTTGTCTTTAACTCTCTGGAGATCTAAAGTACTTATATATGTCATTAAATTGTTACATTTAAGCTAATGCAAGTACTTTCAAAAATTAAATGTTTTAAAATATGTCAAATGGAAGGAGGTAAAGATGGGGGAAAACATAAGTAACAGAAATTAAGAAAAGGGGCCACTATATAAATGTTTACCTGTTGCATCAAACTCAATTGGCTGGCACCTGCGGTGAGAAGACCAGTCACACTTAAGGACTTGCCCTCCTTCCACAATCCCAGGCTGGGTAGTGTTCGCTTTGGGCGCTCCCACCAGAAGAAACATCCTGCTAAAATACAAATGGGAAGACAAAGACTTTAAGTGACACAAAGCATAAACCATCTCTCATGATTTAGGAAAAGCAATCATTCTCCTTATTTTATCCACAAATCCTTTTAAAAAACCACTCACTGAGAGCATAATCCATCTTCCTTATTCATTCGGTGCTCTTTTACACACATACATTATTCAGTATGGTTTATTCAGCCCAGTAACACATTACAGTGCGACTTCAGGGTTGTTGTCGCTGTTGTTCAGTCATTAAGTCGTGTCAGACTCCGCTGCGATGACACGGACTGCAACACGCCAGGCCTCCCTGTCCCTCGCCATCTCCCAGATCTTGCTCAAACTCATGCCCACTGAGTCGGTGATGCCATCCAACCATCGCACCCTCTGTCATCCCCTTCTCCTCCTGCCCTCAATCTTTCCCAGCAGCAGGGTCTTTTCCAGTGAGTCGACTCTGCATCAGGTGGCCAAAGGACTGGAGCTTCAGCTTCAGCATCAGTGCTTCCAGTGAATATTCAGGGTTGATTTCCTTTAGGATTGACTGGTTTGACCTCTTTGCTGTCCAACAGACAGACTCTCAAGAGTCTTCTCCAGCACAATTCAAAAGCATAAATTCTTTGGCACTCAGCCTTCTTCATGGTCCAGATCTCACATCTGTACATGACTACTGGAAAAACCACAGCTTTGACTATAGGACCTCTGTCGGTGAAGTGATAGCAACTAAAAATTTATCCCAGCCAAACTGTCAGTTTAGATAGGTACAGTTTATCATGTCAATTATAGCTCAATAAATTTGTTAAAAATATATGCTGGCTGAAGACAGGGACATTTTGTTTTAATTTGTGGGTTTGTTTTTTTTTAACGATTTACTTTATACATTCTATACCCTGAATGTTGAAAAAAAAATAAATGATTCTAACCTATGGTAATTCTAAATATTATCATTTCTCCCCTGGGAAAACTTATCTTGTTTTAAAACTACATACTTCAATTTTTTTTTTTTTTAAGTGACTAACAAATTTCTCTTTTCACTGGATTAATCTAATCAACCTTTGGTCAAAGAACAAAATCACTATTCAATTTCCTAAAAGGGTAAAACTAGCAAAAGACAAAAATAATCAGGAATCAGATTTGTAAGTAAAAGAGGTCTTTTCTTTAGCTGTTTCTATTCATTCAGAAAAAGATATAGATTGAGTGTCTCCACTACTAAGGCACAGATCTGGGCACTAGAGAAACCAGGGTGAATAAAACCATATTGTTTCCTCCTCTAGTGGAGCTCACATTCCCTCAGGGGGAAAATCAAGAAACTAGCAAAGAAAATTAGTCCCTGTTATGAAAGAAAGCAACAATTGGCTGAGAGACATTATGTATGGGGATCTTTAGATAAAGGAAAGTTATCTCTAAGGAATGCAGGGGACAGATTTTCTTCAGATAAAGGGATATCTAAGGAAGTTATCTTTATAGAACCAGGAGAAAAGACTTCTTGTAGGTAAAGTCACAAATGGATTTCCCTCTAAGTACACTGAAGTGTACATGATTAGAAGGAAGTTGCCAAAGAGTGTCTTGTGTACTGGGAGTAGGGAACAAGGGAGTGGGATGCAGAGGTTGTGAACAAGTCAGTCCATCCTAAAGGAAATCCACCCTGAACATTGATTGGATGGACTGATGCTAAAGCTCCAATACTTTGGCCACCTGATGAGTGGTTCTACTGAACAGCCAACTCAGTAGACAAGACCTTGATGCTGGGAAAGGTTGAAAGCAAAAAAGAGAAGGGGGCGGCATAAGAAGAGATGGTTAGAGAGCATGACCGACTCAATGGACGTGAATTTGAGTAAACTCTAGGGGACAGTGAGACAGAGTAGCCTGGAGTGCTGCAGTCCACTGGGTCACCAAGAGTCAGACATGACTTAGTGACTGAACGACAACAATGGAGAGGTGGAAGGGGACATCCCAGGCAGAGGAACAAAGACGCAAGGCAGCAAAGAGCGTACCAAGAGGAGTGGCTGCAGGAGAGCAAGCTGAGAATGGCACAAAATAAAACTGGGGCACTTGGCCAAGCTAAATCACACAGGGTCCTTCAGCCAGAGTAGAACTTTCGGGTTTTCTCCTAAGGTCCGTGTGAAGCTTCAGAATGTTTTTTTAAAGCAAGAGAAAGACATAATCTGATAAAGAAAATGAAATTTGGTGCCTTAGGGGAAACAAATAAAGGGTTGGGCGGGGGCAAAAATGGAGCAAGAAAAGTGAGAGACTTCCAGCAGCGGAGGGAGGAGGTGACAGTAACTGAGATTGGGAGGGTAGATGGAGAAAGAGATGGATGGGCAGATTTGGAAAACATCTGGAGTAGAATAAACAGGAAGAGCTGGTGGCTTGACTAAGGTAGAAAGGGAAGATGAGATGAAAGAATAATACCCCGGTTTCCTTCTGGAGCGCAGGAGTGGAGAGCCATATACTGTGCTAGAAAAGCAGAGAGAGTAGGGAAGCAAAAGGCAGACTATTTTACAGGAAAACCAAGACTTCAGTTCCCAACATGTTAGCCTGCAACACCTGCGAGACACCTAATTGGTGATCGGTGGCTCTAAGGAGAGTTCTGTTTTAGAGATTAACGTGGTGAGAATGTCAACTAGGAATGCGTAGTTTCACACAGAGAGGAGAGGACCAAAGAGAGGAAGCAACAGCATTTAGGACTCAGAGAAAGAGGACAGCGTAAGAGGCTGAGCAGAAACGAAATGCACTGTAGAAGAATTAGCAGGACAGAGTCAAACAGAGAAGGCCCTCAATCAATGCTACCACCATTATCATTTCATTTCCTTATTAAACACTAAGCCCCTTACAGTCTTCTAGCAAAGAAAATACTCATAATTGCTTTTCACTTTTTTGTGAAGTTATGAACAAACCTACATCTTAAATATGGAATGCTGACTTTTTTTTTTTTTTTTTTGAGCTAGAAGATATTTTATTGTAAGGTAATCATGGCATCAAAGGAAAAGTGATAAAACTGATTTAGGGGAAGAACTGGAATGCTTTGATTTTAACTTTTATTTATCAATTTCATTTCTTCTGGATGATGGTATCTGCCAAATCCTATTTAGACCAGTCAAGAGCTACTTTAAGAATTCAAGAATTACTTGAATCTTGCTTTCAGATACTTATCTTAAAACTCCACACTCAAAAGACAAAATTCCCAACCAAGCCACACCCTGCTGAATAAAGTTTTATGCAGTCATATTTGGCATCAGTAAAACACCAATGCTGGCTCTTTCTCCTCATAGCCAACTAAGTTTTCATTCAGCAAGAAAAAAAAAAAAGCTGAGTAAGAGAAGAAGAGAGCAGCTCAGTTACCGTCCTACCCTCCTTCTCTACAGCAGAGCTGGGTAACAGCTAAATTACACACACACAAATCCATACACACACATATATATGTGAAATCTGCCTTTCAACGGGTCAAAAATTTGGCTACAAAATTATAAAACTGCCCCTCTTCACCTGAATTAAATGATTCTTGACTACAAGATAGGGGGGAAAAAAAAAGCATTTCTGAGAAGTATACTTTTCAGATCTATACCTAAAAAGGCACAGGATCATTCCTGCAGCAGCCACCATACAAGCATGGGTGTGTGTTATGCTTTCTGTGTCGTGGATAAAGGACAGGTTCCAGGACATCAGCACAGAAGAGCTGGTTCTCAGAATCTACCTAAAAACCTACAAGCAAACTCATTTCTGAACTGTCCTCACACAGCACACTACAGAATCTTTAAGAATTTTTTTGTCAAAGCACTTCTTCAGACCGTATAATAAACTGCTTCCATGAATGAAGGATACCCTCATTCATTTATGTACTGCCACATAATAAGCACTTTTAAAAAAGCTTTTTAAAATGACAACTGAGTGGCCAGTACATTTGATTTAACAGCCATAAATAAAAAGCCACCTCCACTATCACCAAGCCCTGCAGAATGCAGAAATCCTCCTCCAATAAACATCTGATTATTTAAGTTATCCTTAAAATAATTTCTTTCTGTAACATATCGCTTCTTAATCTTGGATTTCAGATACTTCCTTTACTTGGCACTAGAGACAGAGAGGGCTGGGAAGCTGGTAGGGGACACAGGCTTCAGCAAAGACAGAAAAAAGGGCGCTGTAGGAGCGTTCTGAATGGAAACTGCACTCCCTCTATTGGGAGCAAAGAGCTCGAGTTCCTTGGGTAAGACCAGGAAAAAGGCTGCTGCTTTTCATCAGACCATTTGCACATTATGGGCATGAAATGACAGTAATTAGATGTGCTAACCAGGCTGTTCATCAAGTTTTCCTAAGCATACCTTCATGTGCAGTCTTGCACATTGGTGAAATGCCACAGAAATGGTAGAATAATATAAAAGGAATGTGTGAGCATTCTCATCTTCTAAGTGCTAGGTTAATGGGAGGAATGGGAGGGGAAAAAAAGCTGAGAAATAAAGTTCTTTGTACAAAGTGTCAACATGATATTTAAGTTACTTTTAAAAGTGTTAGAGCAAGTTCTAAAAGAGAAAAATGGAGAGATAAAAACAGTAAGACTGCCTTAGACAAATGTTAAGTCCTAAAAGGGAGAGAAAAAAGTTAAGCATTTGTAGAAAATAAAGAGTACAGAATGGCAAAAGATACTGCATGAGAAAATTAAGACTATAAGAGCAACACATACCACAGAGTGTAAAAGCCCGTTAATGTGTTGGGAGGACAAGGTTATGTCATGTGTCTTTCTGCCACAGCAACAAAAAACAGCCTGTTAATAAAACACCTTATAAATAATGAAATCATTTTTACTTAAGTTCATCTAGGAATATCTAATGAATGTCTACAACAGCTTAACTAAAGTAAAAGAAGTGACAGACCAGGAAAAAAAAAAAAATGTGATATAAGCAGCACTGTCTAATGGGCAGTTTGGGACTAAAGGTTCTAATCACCATATAAATCACTCAAGAAAGTCACTGTAAATCTCTCAGCCTCAGTTTCCACTTCCATTGTATGGAA